CTGTGTGAGGTTATTGTTTCTACAATTGGCAGTTTGGTTTATACAAATGGTCTTCAATATTTTATTCATGGCCAAATTTAGTAATTGCAAATACTGTCAGCTCTTATTTGTCTGAGAATATTTTTATCCATTCCTCCCATCTAAATGAGAGCTTTACAGAAAAGTGGACTCTAAGTTGAAAGATTTTTTCAGTGAGTAATTTGAATATGCCATCTCACTGTTTTCTCTCCTGTACCGTTTCACATGAGAGATCTGTTGTGATTTCCTTATATTTAAGATTTCTATTCTCTCTAGATGCTTTGAGAAGTCTGTCGCTTTGAATTTTGTCGTTTTGATTGCCATATGTCTTGGCATTGTTTTATTTGGGCCTTTTGAATTTGTATATCACTGTCCCTCCAGAGAGCGAGGGTCTGATCTCTCCCACCACTTGTTCTACCCTTTCCTGTTTTACTTGCCTTCTGGTATTCCTGTAATTTAGAGATTGTTTCTCTTGGCCTGGAGCAATAGCACATTGGGTAGGGCATTTGCCTTGCACATGGCTGCCCCGAGTTCAATTCCTTTGTCCCTCTCAGAGAGCCCAACAAGCCACCAAGAGTATCCCACCAGCACAGTAAAGCCTGGCAAGCTCCCCATGCTGTATCCGATATGCCAAAAACAGTAACAACAAGTCTCACAATGGAGATGTTACTGGTGCCTGCTCGAGCAAATCGATGAACAACTGGACAACAGTAGTATAGTGCTACAGAGTTCTTGCTCTTATCCATTAAGTACCTTACATTCTCTTCTTGCTTCTCTTTTCTTGGATGTTGGATGTTTTCTTCTTGTGGAGTGCTTTGTATATACCAGTGCTTTGTATAACCTTGATATCAGCCCCTTATCAGGTGGGCATTGGGTGAATATCTTTTCCCATTCTGTAGACTGTCTTTGTATTTTGGTCACTGTTTCCTTTGAGGTGCAGAGGCTTCTTAGTTTAAGATAGTCCCATTTGTCTATCTCTGTTTTCACTTGCTTGGCCAGTGGTATGTCATCGTTGAAGATACCCTTAGCTTCAATGTCGTGGAGGGTTTTGCCAACCTTGTCTTCAATGTACCTTATGGGTTCTGGTCTGATGTTGAGATCTTTAATCCATTTTGATCTTACTTTTCTACATGGTGTTATGTAGAGATCTGAGCCCACTTTTTTTGCATGTAGCTGTCCAGTTTTGCCAGCACAATTTGTTAAAGAGGCTTTCCTTGCTCCACTTCACATTTCTTGCTCCCTTATCAAAGGTTAGCTGATCATATATTTGAGGGGAGATGTCAGTATATTCAACCCTGTTCCATTGGTCTGCAGCTCTGAGTTTGTTCCAGTACCATGCTGTTTTAATTATTATTGCTTTGCAGTAGAGATTGAGGTTGGGGAAGTTGATTCCTCCCATTTTCTTTTTCCCAAGAATTGCTTTAGCTATTCGTGGGGGCTTATTGTTCCATATGAATTTCAGGAGTGTTTGCTCCATTTCTTTGAAGAATGTCATGGGTATTGTTATAGGGATCACATTGAATTTGTACAATGGTTTTGGGAGTATTGCTATTTTGTCAGTGTTAATTCTCCCAATCCATGAGCAGGGGATATCTTTCCATTTCCTTGTGTCCTCTTTTATTTTCTAGGTAGTGTTTTGTAGTTTTCTTTGTACAGGTCTTTTATGTCCTTAGTTAAGCTGATACCTAGGTACTTGATTTTCTGGGGCACAGTTGTGAATGGGATTTTTTTATGTCACTTTCTTCTCTCTCATTATTTGCATATTGGAAAGCCATGGACTTTTGGGCATTGATTTTGTAGCCTGCAACTTTACTATACAGGTCTATTGTTTCTAGGAGTTTCTTGGTAGAGGCTCTAGGGTTCTCTAAGTATAGTACCATATCATCTGCGAGTAGTGAGAGCTTGATTTCTTCCTTTTCTACCTGAATGCCCTTAATATCTTTTTCTTGCCTAACCACTATTGCAAGTACTTCCAGTACTATATTGAACAGCAGTGGAGAGAGTGGGCATCCTTGTCTCGTCCCTGATCTTAGAGGGAAGGCTCTTAGTTTTTACCGATAGAGGATAATGCTTGCCATAGGCTTGTGGTAGATGGCTAACCACTCCATTTAGTTGACTCAGATATATGACTGTATAAGGTGTCAGTGAAATATGGTTGTTTTACCCACTGCTTTCAATATGAAGAGTGTAATCAGTAAAATGCTTTCATGCAGTTTTGTGTTCAGAGAATCTCAGAGCTGACATCAGACAGCAGGACTCTCTGTTTTAGGGCTGAGGTCAGTGAGAATGGAGCCAACAGGGTCCTGGGACCAAGGCTTTCTGTCCAGAGCCTAGCCATAGTGGAAGGGAGAAGATGGCAGAGTCCTAGTTCCTAGAAGCACACAAATAGGTTCAGAGAATTAGAGCTGACATCAGATAGTGGATTCTCTGATCTAGGGCCAGGGTCAGTGAGAAGGAGCCCTCTGGGTTCTTGGTCCAAGATATTCCACCTGGAGCCTGGTGATGGTGAGAGGGAGAAGGTGGGCAGAGTCCCCAGTGCCCAGAAGCACACACATGGGTTTGCAGAATTAGAGCTAATGTTAGTCATTGAGACTTCCTGATCTAGGGGCTGTCATCAGTGAGAAGAGAGCCCTCAGAATCAGGGGTTCAAAATCTGGAAGCTGGCCATAGTGGGAGAGAAAGGATGGACAGAATCCCAGTACTTTTTGAAATCTTGTATTAGATTTATTAACGTTCTGTTACATATGTTTGCATTCATGCTTATTGTGACGTTTAGTTTTGAACAGTTCTGGAATTATTTATTTGATTTCATCCATGAACATAGTCACCTTTTTTTTTTAAAAAAAGTGTTTCTTAAGAGATGGGGTGTGAATTACATGGTAGAGCATCTATCTGGCATGCCTGAAGTCCTAGTTTGACCCCTGGTTTGACCCAGAGACCGAGAAATGTGATCCTGGTGTTCCCTCCACTTGTTCCAGCACCACTGAGTGTGGTCCTCAAATGTGGCCTTTAAAATGTAGCTTCTCATGATTTTTAGATATGCCTCGCTGGATGGTGTGTTTTAGAAATTTCATATTATCTACTTCTGAGAAAATGACTCGGATGATTTTAACTCTTATGAATTGTACTGCTCCGAACAGAGGGTTGCCGGTATCCTCTACAATTAATGTTTTCATATCCTTCAGGTAAATGCCAGCAAATGATTTCACTGGATCATAAAGAATTTCCATTCTTATGTTTTTAAGAAATTGCCATAACATATCTCATAGAGACTGCACCAATTGACATGCCCTACTAATAGGGTGCCCTTACAGAGTTTCGTTTTCTCTGCATCCCCATCGGCATTTGTTCTTTCCACTTTGTCATTCTCATGGCTCTGTGCGGTGATAGCATGTGGTTTTGGATTGTGTTTCCCTAAGAATAAGAGATTACTGAGTGTTCTTTTTCATGAGCCCATGGGCCATCTTACATAAACTATGAACTACTAAAGCAATGGCAAGAAACGACAACATTAATGATTAGACATGATGAAAACTATAGTGGTACTGGAGGGAAAGACTGAGGAGAGGGGTCTCTTTTTATTTGTTTATGTGGGCCACACCTGGCAGTGCTCAGGGCTTACTCCTGGCTCTGTGCTCAGTGATCATCCGTGGCAGTACTTTGGGGTACTATATGGGATTCTGGGGATCAAACTCAGATCAGATGCATGCAAGGAAAGTGTCCTTCCTGCTGTACTGTCTTTCCAGCCTCATGTAGAGGAGTCTTTATGGTGGTGATATGACACTAAAGTTTGGTGGGGGAAGTGGTGACATTTACTCACATATGGAGATATGAAACAAACTCCTGAAATTCCATAATATTGCAAACTAACAATCAGTTGTCACTTGATCACTTGTCTTTCCATTGTTCCTCAATTTGCTCAAGCAGGTGCCAGTAATGTCTTCATTTGTCCCTACCGCGTGATAGTGTAGCCCAGTGGTGTATTGGGGGGCTCTTTCAGGATCAGGGGAATGAGACTAGTTATTGTTACTGTTTTGGGTATATCAAATACGCGATGGGTAGCTTGTCAGGTTCTGCTGTGCGGGTGGGATACTCTCTGTAGCTTGCTGGGCTCTCTGAGAGAGCCAGGAAATACTGCATCGCTCTCTTCCAGGAGCTTTATTTTATAGTTTCTGGATCTTGGTCATTGATGAGATTACATGTAATCTAATGTGAAACAACAATAAGTCAATAAAAAATAAAATTAAAAGAAAGGCTTTTTATTATGTATTTTCCTATTAATGGAAGTGTTTATGTCTAATTTTTATGTCAGTCATATAATTAAAATTTAAAGTAATATAGTCTATAATGTTTTAAAGATATTGTAATTTATTTTCACAATTTCTTGTAGTATTTATATTTTAAAACTTCAAATCACAGAAATTTATAATTCTTTTGTTTGTTTGTGGGGCATAACTGCTTGTGCTCAGGACTTACTTCTGGCTCTGCACTCTTGGATCACTCATGGCAGGCCTATGGCCAAATAGGGTACAGGAGATCAAAACCACCCGGTGAGCCATGTGCAAGGCAGGTGACCTACCTGCTATATATCTCTCTGGCCCAGGAAATTTAGAATTTTCAAACCTTCTCTATTAGACTTTTTTGAAAGAAAAAAACCAAGCAAACATAAATTTATATATGTGAATTATATATAAATTATTCACATATACAGATACATATGTTTCATTTTATTGTAGTTAGTAATTTTCTTTTCTAAGGTCAGTGTTGGGAAGGATGACTGTGCTGGATGCTTTTAGTCACTGTCTTTTGTTCTGTTGTGGCCTTGCTGAAGCAGGCTACAGATGTTTGCTGAGTCGGACAGCAGAGCAAGATCCCACCTGATTGCAATCCTGTATTTGATTCTCTTTCAGTAACACACTGACTCTTTTTTTTCCATGTGGAGCTCTGATCATGTGCTCAATCTTTGGTCCTTGATTTTTCAGGTCTGACTGCATTGCCCTGGATTTGATATTAAATCATGGGGAGGAAGCTTGACCTGTCCGGTCTGACCGATGATGAAACTGAACATGTTCTGCAGGTGGTTCAGCGAGACTTCAATCTGCGGAAAAAAGAGGAGGAACGGCTGAGGTGAGAGTCTGCCAGGGTATCGTAAACATAGGTGGGCATGTGAGCTAAGGATGTTCCCATATCCCTGTGCTGGCTTGAAGCCTTTGTGGCATGGAACATAGACCTCGACAAGAAGGATGCTCTGATGTGAATAGAATCCAGCCAGTTTTCATGCGGGCGTTATAATGTCAGTTCAGAAATGACTGTTCGCACTCCCGAGGGAGATTTTCAAGGTTTGGGTCTCTCACCCTGCAACTTGTTAGCTGTAAAATTGGTAAAGTTTGGGATGACAATGACTGTTTTTTGCACGTGGGGTCTCTCCCAAACAGTGAACAAGAGGTCTCACCAGTGATTCTCAGCCAAAAGGGTAGAGCAGGTCAATGCAAGCACCTGAGGATGTGTTGATGCTTGGGCCCTGTGGTGCTGGGGATATCTGCACCATCCTGGTGGCAGGGGAAGGCCTCCCAGAGCCATACCAAATTCACTAGGACCCGCCATGGCCGCACCTAGTGATGCTTAGGGGATCATGTGGTGCCAAGATCAAACCCAGGCCAGGCTTGCTAGGCATGCTCCCTATTCACTATTTTCTTCCTGCCAATGACTGTTTTATTCCTGCTCTCATTTTCCTGATAGCAGGTGCCATTAAGAAATTATCGAAGCATTGTGTGAACTATACTTGGGAGAATTTGACTCCTGCCTCAACACTCTTTAGTTGGAGCTAGCAGCTTCTGAGGCAGAGTAGAAGGTCTTTAAAGACTTGGTCCAGGAAAGGGCTGGAGTACAGCGGGTAATGTGTTTGTCTTGCACGCGGCCAACCCAGGTTCAATCCCCGGCATCCCATATGATCCCCCAAGCACCGTCAGGAGTAATTCCTGAGTGCAGACCCAGGAGTAACCCCTGAGCATTGCTGGGTGTGACCAAAAAAGAAAAAAAAAAGGACCTGGTCCAGGGAAACTTCCCCATCGTGTTTGGAATCTTCTAGGTCAGTGACATGGGAAAACCCGGATGCAGGAGATGGTCTTGGGGCTCTTCTTGAGTTATACTTCCCTGATGGAATAGTCTTGAAAATACAGTTGCTCAGTTGGCAGACATATGTAAGTTTTGAAAAAGTCAGAGTGGCAGAAATGAGGTCATGTGCTGAGCCCAGTTTGGCAGAACCAGATGGCCAGTCCTCCTTAGATCACTCACTCAGGACTCTTCTATCACTCTGGAGTCCATTCACAGCACATCAACCTCTTCCTCAGCCACTGGGCACCACACCTCAGTCTCCTGAATGCCTCCTTGGACCTGCTTCCCACATAACACACGATCATGCCCTCCTGTTTCTGCATCACCGCCCTTACCCACTCTTTCCCTGGCACTGTCTTTGCTTTTCATCCAAGTTGCTGGTCTTTTGTCTACTCCTCCTGCCTCCAACCCTCCAAAGAATCAGCAAGCACCAGGCTTGTGACCTGTCTAACCTCTCATCCTGCCCTTTCCCACACTCCTTAGAATCTGACTTGACCCCAGGGTTCCGGGGACTGGGGTGGGGCTGGCCTTCTGCATCCGGGGGCCGTCGTGAAGCCAGAGACACCATGGAAAGAGCTCCTGACTTGCACTATCATCAGAACCTGTCCCCTCTAGGTTTCTATTGTCAGACACATTTACGAAGTGTTTTTAAAAATGGCTTGTTAATTATTTGGTATCCTGGTGTTCAGACTGCTTCCTGGAGACATTTGTGAGGTAGCCACCACCTTAAAAAAAATAACCTTGCATTTACAGGTGCTGGCCAGAAGCTAGCTAGCAACTGGTTTACTTCCAAGGCTTTTCTGGACCTCTGATGGCCATGTTCTGTCAGGGAGCCTGGGTGAGGTCTGAGCAAATGGTCTCCCATGGCTGTGACCAGCCATTAATTCTCAGTGCTTGCTGCCCTGACAGGGGATTCAGGCCGATTCAGGCCTGCCAAGGACTGCTGGGTCAGGCTAGCCCAGGGCCACAGTGGGGTTAGCAGTGGGGTGAGTTTGGGTAAAAAGTGAGTGGTAGAACCCTGTCACCTAGCCTTGTAGGGAGGGCGGGGGTGCCCACACCCATCAGTGCTCAGGCATTACTCCTGATTCTCTGCTCAGGGGTCACTCTGGCAGATCTTGGGGTACCATCAGGGGTGCTGGAGATCAAACTGGGGTACTAAGTGCAAAGACCAGCGCTTTTCCTGCCGCACTGTCTCTCCCAGGCTTCACCTGGCCTTTTTCAGAAAGGTGTGGCCGCTCCAGGCAGCCTGCGGCTCTAGTGTGTGAACTACTAGCTCTTCTGTGGTGAACACAGTCCAGACCCTCAGTGGTCTGTTCTGGTTGCAAAAGAAATACTCCCTAGCATTTGGTGTCTGGGAATAGCTGCACTTCCTTTGCTGCTTTTGGCCTGAAGGCTGATTCCCTGGTTCCCAGCAGTCAGGTTAAACATTGTTGCCAAGAAATGTCAGGACCCCCAGGCTGTGGAGGGACCTGCCCTCAGGGAAGCAGCACATTCCTCTAAGGAGAAATCATCTGTGAAGCTAGCTTGTTAGACAGAAACTCCTTCTGGGATATATTTTCTTCTCCTGTTTTTTTTTTAATAGAAAGAACAAAGTGCTTTTAATAAACTAAGTTAGTGATCTTCATTCAAAATTCATTTTCATTTTAAGCCACTTAAAGTTTAATAAGAGCTTAATTTTTCAAGAAGTTTCTCTTTCCCTGTTTTCAGGGACCCTTGTTTAGAGACACAGGGTAGCACTGTACTCCTGTTGTTCATCGATTTGCTTGAGCGGGCCCAGTAATGCCTCCATTGTGAGACTTGTTGTTACTGTGTTTGGCATATCGAATACATCATGGGTAGTTTGCCCTGAGAGGGGTGGAGGAATCAAACCCGGGTTGCCCGAAACACCCGGGTTGGCCATGTCAGCCACGTGCAAGGCAAAAGCCCTACCCACTGTGCTATCACTCCAGCCCAGACACAGGGTAATCTACTAAATTAGAAATTATTCCTGGTTAGGTTCACTGAAGTGAATGGAGGGAAGGAATGGGACCAATCACCTTATTTTGGGGTTTGAATAATTAGGCCCTATGGTTTAGGTTTAGGAAAGAACCAATAGTACGTCTGTCCTGCCTCTTGGTTCTCACTTGTTAGGCAATGGGTCACTTGCTTAAAATCCTCTCTTGAATGTCGGGAGCCCTTGGAGCACACATGAAGGTAGCATGATGATAGGAGCAAGCAGGTGCTTTATTCATTTATGAGAGTCCTTCTCCCTGGAGGAAAAGCCCAGCAAAAGAGCTGAGTCCGAGAGTATTGATCAGGATGTGAGGAAGAGAGAGAGATAGCATCTTGAGGGTAGGTGACCTTGGGACTCAGTTGGTCCCTGAGGTGGGGAATAGGAAAGGAGAGCAGCGCCTTTGTGAAGGAGATGGATGTTAGTGCCGCAGACAGGACTCTTAAGCAGATTGAAGCAAAGGGCACCAGGAAGTTCAGTAAGGGAGGAGGGAGTGAGGGAGAGGAGAGAGGGGGAGAGTAAAAAGAGGGAGGGAGAGAGAGAAAGGAGAGATGTTCACTCTACTCCAAATCTGGATTATGGAAAAGAGAGAAGAGAGTAGACGTGTCTGACCAAATACAGTTTGACCCCAAGTGCTCAGCAGCACATATAATAAGGCTGGAGTGATACCGAGACTATTAGCATGATTCCTATGTAAGGATGGCATGCAAATTTGTGAAGCAATCCATAAATATAATTTTTCTTGTTTGGGGGCTGGGCTGGAGCCATCGCACAATGGCCAACCCTGCTGACCGAGTTTGATTCCTCCGCCCCTCTCAGAGAGCCCGGTAAGCTACCAAGAGTATCTTGCCCACACGGCAAAGCCTGGCAAGCTACCCGTGACATATTTGATATGCCAAATACAGTAACAACAAGCCTCAAAATGGTACTGGGCCTGCTTGAGCAACTTGATGAAACAATGGGAGGATAGTGACAATGACAGTGTTTGGGGGCCACACCCCATGATGCTTAGGGGATACTCCTAGCTTTATAGTCAGGAATCACTCCTGGTGGTATTCAGGGGGCCATATGGGGTACCTGGGATCAAACCTGGGTCAATGCATGGAAGGCAAGTCCCCTACCTGCTGTACTATCTCTTTGGCTCTGGGTTCCATATTAAAAAAAAATAAATAAAAAGTTCTACCTCAAGCAAAGCTAATTGTATTGAATAAAAGGTTTGTGTTTCATGAGTATCACCTCCTCTCCTTCAGCAAAATGTGAAACACTCATTTCCAAAATGGGTAAATGGAGACTCTAAAAGACCTAAATAACTTGTTGAGGTTGCACAGAGCTAGAAGACTCCAGCCTGGGCAGGATGACTCGCTGTCCCTGGTACTGAAACAAGTCACGCTGGGGCTGACTGAGCGACATTAAGGCCAACTCCTAGTAGAACCTGGTAGAACTTGGGGTGTGCTGAGGTATGGGATGGTAGTAACAGGATATGGGAGTAATTACAGGAATCAAGAGCTGCAGGTGGCATCATGCACTCCCAGCATGGCCTGTCCAACCAGAAACATCATCTGCATATTTGGATTTCAAAGGTCTTGTATGAAGAGTAGTATAAGACATCTCAATAATAACTTTCTTATGATGACAGTCTACTGAGAACTATATCTGAGCTATTTTGGGGGAGGTTACTGGAGATTGTACTCAGGACCTCTGTACAACTTCATAACACTCAGATTTAAGCTGACATTTTAAATTAAATGCATTAATAAAATTAATAATTTAATCAGGGAATTTAATTCACTGAATTAAATTAATTCTCTTTAATATATAATTAATAAAACCAATAAATTTAATTTTTACTTTCAATACTGGATTATTAGAAAATTGTATATTGCATGTATTTTTGTAGATATATGTACTTATGGTTCATATGCTTGGATTCAATAGCACTGGTTTGGAATAGTAGATTATGCAGTTTGACATCTAAAGTGCCGCCAATTTAGTTTCTTCATCAGTTTTACTTGAGTTCACTCCTTTACTCTAGGAGGTTCTTATATATCTGAGGGGTTCTGCTAAAGCTTTATCTAATTCTGTGTTGAACTTTTCACTCAACTATTGTTATCTCTGTCATCTGGAGGTGAGTTTGGAATAACGCCCTGTGTTGACTTAACTGCATAATTTGAAAAGACCATAATCATTCATATTCACCATGGAGAATTTGTGCTTCCCAGAATGGCATAAATTCCTTTGCAATTGCCCTAAACTTTAAAGCTGACCAAATAAGTTGGAGTAGTACCTTTGAAGTAGTACCTTGGTTTTATTTATTAGAAAAAAAAAACCCTTCCTTTTAGAATGAGTGTCAGTTTCTACAGACAAGCTTGCTAGGATTTTTCTGTGTTTATTTTCCCTGTCTCTCTTACTTCTACTGTTGTTCTTGCTGCCTTGGGGTGTGGGGTGTGCACATGCTTGACTGTGTTCTTACACACTTGGCTTCAGTGGTTGCCAGGGGTCCATTTCCTTTAATTGTGTGGCACTTTCACACATTCTGGTAGTGCTCACAGAGAGTCACTCTGGTGCTCACACTGATAGGGACAAAAGGAGAACAGGCAAGGGGAGATGAGGAACATGGCCCTAAAGAAAGTAAGTCATTGATATGGAATGTCACAAGGATGGTCTTTGTGGTGCCTGAATACTCTGGATGACCTATGACCTAGGCCCCTAAATAGTCTAGATGACCCCTGACTGGGGCCCTGCTTTAGGATCTAGACTATAGAATATAATTATCTCCACATCCTCTTCCCTGTTTTAATGTCCAACATTCTGGGAACACAAATGACAAATGCTCACCCACCCACACCTTTGTTAAAGAGGCTTAAGACAGAAAAAGGCACCTGCCTTTGTCTGGGATCCTTCTTCAGGAGACCCCTCCCATAATCTGGGAGCTCCTTTGCCTTCCTTTCATATCCTATCCCTTCCCCTAAAACACATCTTTTTTAAATTCTGCCATTCACCTCCATCACCTTGCCTCCTACTGCCTGTCCCACTTGTCTCCACTGCTGTTGGACAAGACCCTGAGTGCCTCTACTTGCTCTCACAACACTTCCAAGCTTGGTTTCAGTGCTGGCGCAGATCTGGCTGCAGAGCAGCCAGGAATCATTGGCAGCACTGTGGAATTAGACAGCAGAGCTGCCAGGAGCACACGGCAGAGCTGTTGGGGCACTCTCGAGCATAGGCAGCAGTTCCAGGACTGAGAGGTAGCCTCACCCCAAGCCAGCCATTCTTCTTCTTCTTTTTTTTAATTATTTTTTAATTGAATCAACATGAGATACAGTTACAAAGCTTTCATGATTGAGTTTCAGTCATACAATGATCAAACGCCCATTCCTCCACCAGTGCCCATTTTCCAACACCAATGGCCCCAGTGCCCCTCCCACCACCCCCACCTGACCCCCTGCCTCTGTGGCAGACACTTTCTTATTCTCTCTTCTCTCTCTCTCTCTCTCTCTCTCGCTCTCTCTCTCTCTCTCTCTCTCTCCTTTTGGGCATCGTAGTTTGTAATACAGATACTAAGAGGTCCTTAGTCTACTTTCAGCACACATCTTTCATCCTGAGTGATCCCTCCAACCATCATTGACTTAATCCTTTCTCCATCCCAACTGCCTTCTTCCCCAGCATATGAGGCAGGCTTCCAAACCACAGAGCAATCTTCCAGGTCCTTGCCTCTACTGTCCTTGGGTTTTAGTCTCATATTATGTTATTTTCTATTGTACAAACAAGTGTAGTCATTCTATGTCTATCTCTCTCTTTCTGACTCATTGCACCTAGCATGATACTTTCCATGTCCATCCACTTATAAGCAAATTTCATGACTTCATCTATTCTAATAGCTGCATAGTATTCCCCTGTGTAGATATACCATAGTTTCTTTAACCAGTTGTCTGTTCTCTGGCACTCGAGTTGTTTCCAGATTCTAAACCAGTGATTCTTTCCTAAACCCATTTCCTTCCTGTCACCCATCCCCACCTTGTCCTATGAGGTGGCCCCTAGAATCATGTCATAACCCTCCCCTAACCCCATTTATGTGACTTTTACCTGTTGCCTCCCTGGAATAGTCTGGGGTCCAACAGGGAGTCGTGTAGCCCCCTTAGAGCAGCTGAGAAACGGAGAAATGATGCTCTGAACCACTGAAGTTCCCCAAGGCCTGGAAATAACATTTGGCTTTAAAATGACCTTATATTCAAAATTTGTATATCTCTAGTATCAAAAAATTACATTTTTACTTATTTGCCATTGAGGGTTTGCTTTTAGGAATAGCCAGGAGAGTCTGTTGCAAGCAAATGTGTCTGTCATAATAGAAAAAAAGGAATCATATGCGTGCTCCTGTTTTCTTTTTAATTTGTGGCCCTTCAAACTAGTTACTAATTACACATCCTGCCCATAATCCCATATTACTTAATAGCCGCTTTCTGAGAGGTTGCTGTTGTGGTTCTGAGTTCCTGGTCTTATTTACTTTCCCATTGCAAATGTCAGAGGCTTAATTCTGCTGGGCTCTGATAAAGCTTTTGTGGTGCTAATTCTTGGCCTGACCTTCATTCCTCAGACCTCTGGCTGCAAAAAAGCATTTCTTTGGCATGAGATGTGCATAAGGATTTTGGCATGAAAGTAAGGGGGAAAGTTTCTGTAGACATCCTAAAAGCAAGTTTTTCCAGCCGCCTGCATTGAGGCACGTACACAAGCATTGAACCAGAAATGGCTTGAAACGGAAGTGGGAACCCTGCATGCATGGGCTGTCTGGAGACAACGCTCGACTCTCCCCCAGCCTTTTCTCCTTCTGTTCAACTTCTCCAGCTCCTGGAAACAGGCCCCTGCCTCCAGAGGCAGCTGCTGCCTTCCCGGCTTCACCTGGCTCTGAGCCCAACGTTCTAGCTGATACTGTCAAAAGGAAAATCATGAAGAACGTCTTTCTATGCTCTAAGTGACTCGTGTGTGGCATTTTTGTCTCAGACTAGAGATTTCTGTTTTAGCCTCGAGATTCTTTTTCCTGAAATCTGGATGAATGCCCCAAATTCTCAGGAGAGCTCGGCCCCCAGCATGCATGAGTCCTACCTTCTGCCCCCTTTGGGGGTCTGTGCTGGCTCCCTCCTGAGTTTGCATGCCTCACCCCCTCTCCACCTTGTACTGGAGTGTTCTTTTTTTATTTTATTTTTTATTAGTGATTCACCGTGGGGTACAGTTGCAGACTTACAAACTTTCGTGCTTGCGATTCAGTCATACAATGATTGAGTACCCATCCCTCTACCAGTGCCCATTCTCCACCACCAATGATCCCAGTATCCTTCCCATCACCCCCAACCCATCCCCCCCACTCCACCTTGCCTCTGAGGCAGGGCATTCCCTTTTGTTCTCTCTTTCCTTTTGGGTGTTGTAGTTTGCACTAGAGGCATTGAGTGGCCATTGTATTCATTGCTGCACTGTTTACAATAGCCAAAATCTGGGAAAAAAAACCCCAAGTGCCCAAGAACAGATGACTGGTTAAAGAAACTTTGGTACATCTGCACACTGGAATACTATGCAACTGTTACACAAGGTGAAGTAATGAAATTTGCATATAAATGGTTCAACATGGAAAGCATTATGTTAAGTGAAATGAATCAGAAGAAGAGGGAGAGGCATAGAAAGATTGCACTCATCTGTGGTATATAATATACTGGAGTGGTATATAATATACTGCCAAGAGGGCCTCTGC